AATTGTAGCTAAATTAAAAACAAGAGAAATAAATTAATTATGCTCACATTATAAAAAATAAATAATTATAAATAAAATATATATTCAAATAATGGTTTAACCCATCTCAAGACACCCAATGCACCATCAATATCAAGTCTTTGGACAGTAATATTAACTGCTAGAGGTATCTTGTTGTAATAATCAAACATTGACAATAAAACACGTCCAACAACAAACCAGTCTTTGGATTGATTTATCATCGACAAAGTAAATCTTTATAATTATCACATGTTTATCATTACAAGTGTATATGCAATTCGGCCAAATATTAATCTTCCTTTGGGCCGACTAATACTCGCATGAATATACACAAACACTAACATTTAATATTTTTCACGAACTACCCAATTCAAGAGATGTTACTTTGATAACTTCTTGACTCAATTTGCTCACAAAAATATTAAACTACCAAACAAATTAATATTTTATTTATATAATAAAATCAAATATATATATTCCTCTAGGTTAGCAAAGAACTCCTTGCAATTCCTGTAATGTTGTTGTTTAAGGCAGCGGGTCCCACGGCATTAACACCCTCAAAGTCACCTTCTCGTCTTTCTTCTTTCTATTTACCACTACACAACCATATCCTTTTATGTTACCAAAGACAAAACAGTCCCACCGATGAACGCGTGTTACTCCAGGTGTCAAAACATTCAATTATATACCCAAAAAAAAAGAGAGACAGAGGGTCAATTCTGTGTCCGGTTCTCGCCAGTTCCGATTTGCACCTAGTGAGCACAGCAGGGCGTGAAGCAATGGGAAACACCGTTGGAACTCCCTTCTCGTCAGATAATAATTCCTCAACCTTTTCTGGTTGGGCCAGAGAAGCAATTTTTTTGTTGTTGCGATAAACCCCAGCTTGGGTTCCGTTTGGGGTTCCTCGGAGGCGGATTCCGTGTTTGGAAACTCCGTTTCTTGGTCCCGAACGGGGAACTCCAAAACCTACAAGCCAGCCGACGAGGATCCGTACGGCACGGATCTCCACCTTCAATATATCCAGAAGCTTCCCCATCAACGCTGCCTGAAACGTTTCGCTCCTCTTGCTCGAATTGGGAATTTGGGAATTTACCCCAAATTCCAAACTAGGTTTAAAATTTGGGAATTTACCCCCAAATTTAAATTTAGGGTTTACAAAAATTGGAGATTATTCTCCAGTTAGAGTTCTGAACTGAATAGAATCTTTGATAAATGTAATTTCGAAAGACAAACATGAATCAAGTATGAGTTGCTCTGATAACAATTGTTAGGTAAACTAATAATTAAATATGATCTTTAATCTAACAATCAAATATAAAGTAATTCCATACTGTAAACATGTTATAAACTAAATGCGAAAGTGTACCTGAATTAGCCATAATGATGATGTCCATTTTAGAGCACTATTGATCTTATGGTCTTCCACCTGAAGAACACCTGTATTTCCCTCTTGATTTTCTTTCTTGATGGGGATAGAAAGAAAAGAACGGGACTGTAATTACGTTCTGTCTACGTGCTCCCAGAAGGGGACCATGACCCCTTAAAATAACCAAAATTAGGTTAATTACTTGAGTTTTAGTATTTCTAATTTGACCACTCATCAAATTAGAAATTGTTCTATGGTCTCTACACAATTTTATTTTCACGACATATGCCTTTAGCCAAAACTTTAATTTATTCAGATCACTTTATTATTTGGCTTAATAAATAATGATCCTAACACATTTAAATATGTATCATATATATACATGACCCAAAATTTGTCAACACTATTTCCTTTAAATTTATTTATTCTTCATATTTTTTAATTCAACTTATTTACATAATTTATTGTTCATCTCTAATTATAATTAAACTAAACCCAAAATTTATATAATATAATTCTAAATTATAAGTTTTTACTAGATATGTTTATCAATGGTATTTATTTTATTAATCTCAGTAAAATTGTGGTGTATATTTTATTATTTTATGATAAAATTTTAGATGTATAAAAAATCTCTTTTGAGGTGCTATAATCATTCTCTTATCAAGTAAACTTTATAGAATTAACTTAAATATTTCATATTTTTAAAGTGATACTATAATTAATTCTAAAAAAACTCCTTCAAAATGATAGAATATAATAAAATCTATATAAATGAATAAATTTTTTTATCTTATTTAATTAATTTTATAAGATTAAATTAAGTAGGTGATAATTTTTAAAATAAATAGTTTCGTTCTAACATGAGGCACAAATTTAAAGAAATGATTTTCCAAAGTCTCGTTACATTTTAGAACTCATTATTCTTCCAGGAAATGCTCTAGTCTGCGATGTTTATGAGTAGTTTATTGCCCAATGCCATGAAAAGCACAAATCATACGCCAGATATAGCAAAATTTAAAGCAGAATTATTTTGTGATGAACCAAAATAATTTAGTTTGTCGTATTAAAGTGTATATCAAGTCCCATTCCAATATTTCAACAACATTTCAGCGTTATCATTGTTTATAAAAGTTGATGGAAATATTTATATTAGACAAAGAATAAGCCTAAGGTCCTAATTTTTTGTTTGAATGGTTGTTAAGAGATGGTTCTCAAGGGTATTATCTCATATTTATTATAAAAATATTTATGTTTTAAATTAAATTTTTTTATGAAAAGATATCATATAATAACTTTTTTTAATATAAATAAAATATAAATCTCATTTTAAGGAAATATCTCTATTTTTAATATCATGTATGACTCTTCGAAATTTTTACCCTATTAAGAGTAATATGCTGTGAACAACCTGAATGCAGAAGGGAGAGTAAGAACATTGATAACCCAAATCATATAACTTGATTATTCTTTAATAATAATATAGTTTGGTTTGTTTTCAATTAAATCATTAATAAATTGTTATATTAATAGAAGTAATTGTTTAGATTTATAATTTTGTTGTAAAATATCAGCATCAAGAACATTTCATTAATGTAGTAATCTATGAATCATTTGATAAGAATAAACATAAAATAAAATTATTACTATAATATTAAAGAGAGTTGTTTATAAGAGATGGATTTAGTTGTCAAAGTATCATTTCTAAAAATATATATTACAGTAAAAACTTCAAATTATTGTTCTTTAAAAATAACATATAGAAAATTAAATTGATAATATTACCATACAATTATGCCTACAGTTTTTGGTAAAAGACAATATTATTTTGAAATCATTAAAATAATGCTTAATAATATCATACCCTTTTGGAATCATTTAAATTTTCTACACATTGTGTCAGCAATAAATGCCATTATCAATTCGGTGGTTTCTAGCTTGAAAGCAATAAAATTTTGTCCATTGTGTGATATCTATCCATGACCAGGAATATCTAATGTTTTTAGAATTTAAAAACTATAACTTGAATTTCATACTCCCACACAAAGATAATCGAGTCATTTTATTAAAAAAAAAACATAATTCGCACTTTAATTAAAGATATATATATATATATATATATATATATATATATATTCGTTAAACTCAATAAAATTATATGTAAAAAAGTGTGTAAAAATAATTTAAATTTCAAATGAAGGAGACATGTGTAAAATGAGAAAAGAGTGGAAATGGATCATGAATGAAATTCTAACCCTTCAATTAGTTTTATTAATACAATAATTTAATGAGATTTTTCTTCGATAAATTTAATAAAATATCAACAAAAACAGTTACATGTGTTTTAAAATACACAACTTCTTTGTCTTGATATATTAATTTAAAATGAAAAGGATCCGTAACTTTAATGGGTAGCCTCTTCTAACAAGAAAATTAACCTCGTTAGTAGATGGTGAATATTGAATCACAATTTCACAAATAAAAATGACACTTTTGGTTTTTATTGATATTTAACGTTGTAAATTTACGTCATCAAGTTGTTGTAGTGCGGACGACCGGGTCAACGGTGATATTTTATTAAAATTTAGTTTACACGCTTTTAAACCTTAATTTCAATTTTTAATAGACACTTCTATATAGATAACAAATAAGTCGCCCGTCAGTCGGCTACAATAAGACGAGCTGGGTTGTTATCTTCTGTACGTCTAATTAATAAAAAATAATATTTTATTATAATAAAATTAATTATAAAAATAATATATAAAATATAAAAATTTTAAAAAGAGAATTAAAAAAGTTTCACTTTTAAACAAAATATTCTTATTATTGAAATACAAGTTTCTTTCTCATGTTCTTCTTATTTATCCTAAGTAATTATTCTTATAATTATAATTTAAATTAAAAGTGCAAGAATTACTCAAACGAAAATAATACAAAATTTTATCAAATAAAAAGATATAGATATTTAAATTTTTCAATATAAAAATATAAATTTTATAAGTTTTAACGTTATTTATATATATATATATATATATATATTTGTTATTATTTATTATTATGTAAATTTTATTATTATTCGAAACTATAATTTCTTAAAATAATGTGTTGATTTATATTATTAAATTAAAATAATATATATATATATATATATATATTAAATTATTGACAAACAAATAATAATTTTATTATTAAATTTATTGAAAATTTTGATTTAAAAAAATAATATTTTTTTAAATTATAGCGTGCTAGTCACGTCAACCCGTCCTTGACGGAACGAACCAAAGTCTACAGTCTATCATGATTATAATAGATCAAAGACAAGACGGGCCAAAATAGGATGGACTGACTCGTCTTGTCATCCCTATTTTTACACACTTTAAACCTAATCTCAATTTTTAAGAAACATCTCTGAAATATAAAATGTTCTGACTTAGAATGATAAGCCAAATAAGCAAACATAGATGTACTTAGTTCAAATAATACATATATTTCTTTTTGTTCACAACTATTATGAAGCATATTTCATCACGATGACATTTTAGATAACCAAACACTCATTCTTCACCACACAGTCTTTATTTTCTATATTGCGATATTGCATCAAGTGTTGTTGCTATGCCTTTAGACTATGAGCATCAATATCTTTGGTAGCACAAGTTATAATGTCCAACAACCGATATGGAGGTTTAGTTTCTTCACTCAGCTTCTCATATTCAACAGTCCACACAGTAATTGCACCACCTTCCTCCTTATCAATCACTTGCAAATGGATCTTCAAATTCTTGTAATCCCTGCCAAAATCTCCATCAAACAGACTGAATGATATTTTCTTGTTTTCTTCATCAACAGCCTCCATAGTCTCCTTGATTGTCTCTACTTTCCCTTCTGCATTCAGTTGTTCACAACATGTAATGATTCAGTATTATAACTATATGATTTTAGATGTTCTAGTTCTGAGTTTAACCAAGAGGATATTAAATTTGAATATGTATATATGTGAGAATAAGTTACAGGGAAACAAGAGAGTGAAAAGAGTGTAACTATATATACCAGTGGTAAAAGTCCAGCTCTTAACAGCCCCAATATCATGCCAATCACCTTCATGCAACTTCCCATGGTGGATGTTGTCAACAATGTTTGACAGATTGTGAAACTGCTTTGCATAAGAATTGAAGAACTTCGCAGCAGGGGATCGGATCTCAAGTTCAGTAACAACTTTTCCCTTCAGAACCATCTCTCTTACCAACTATACAAAGAAAAATGAAGAAATGGGTATGAGACCTTAGGAGTATTCATTGGACCTTTAAATAAACAATAAACTGTGAAGGGATGTCAAATCGGGTGGTCCACCCAGATTTGGTTTTTTCCGCCTTTAGTATATAAAAAATGGGATGGGTTGATCCGTTTTAGTCATAACGGGTTAAAAATCTTAGTCTACCTTACTATAATTTTAATAAAAATTTAAATCAATTTTTTTAATAAATTTAATAATAAAATTATTATTTATTTGTCAATAATTCATATATATATATATATATATATATATATATATATAAATCACGTTAAAATTTATAAAATTTATATTTTTTATATTAAAAAATTTAAATACCTATATCTTTTTTATTTGATAAAACTTCACATTGTTTTCGCTTGAGTAATTCTTACACCTTTAATTCAAGTCATAAGGATAAGAATAATCAATGTTTAGGATAAACAAGGAGAACGAGAGAGAAAAATTTGTGTTTGAATAAAAATAATATTTTGTGCGAGAGTGAAACTTTTTAAATTATCTTTTTAAAATTTTTAATTTTATATATTATGTTTATAATTAACTTTATTATAATAAAAAATTATTTTTTATTAATTAGGTGGATTGCAGGCTGGCCAGCCTCGTCCCACGAGTTGGTCTGCGCGGTAGACAGACTTAACAGGACGGACTAGAAACACCAACTCGCCCCCATATTATGAGAGGCTAACGGGCGTCCTGTCGGACCTGACCCGTTTTACCATCCCTAAAATTGTGTACTATAAGGATATTTCCACCAACTTTTTTATAAACCATTTGAAAAGAAAAATAAAATAAAATTACTTATGTGTTAGTTAATTTATGATTGTTTATATCATTTTTCTAACTTTTTATTTTTAATTTTATAAAAAATCTCTTTTATATAATTTTGTACAGGCTAATTTTTATTTATATAAAAAGTCATTTTTTTTCTTATTTCATTATTATGATTACAAAATAGTTAGTCCAATAAACTTAATTTTTTTGGTTTCTCACAAAATAACTAATCCACAAATTTTGTTACATTTTTTAATAATGGGGATGAAACGTGTTCTTAATTATATATATACGTATATTAGTATAATTTTTTCCATTTATAAATATGTATCTTACATATTATGGTTTAGATATTTAAAATAATCATACTGCACTTAGAGTTGTTAAACGACAAAGCAGAAAATATATATAAAAGTAGTTAGTAACAATGATTTAAAAATAAAATATTATTTTATTACAACTTTTAGTTATATTAATAATTTTTATTTTATTTTACACATAAATTTAATATATAAAATATAATATTATATATTAATAAAATAATATTTATTTTATTTTATATTTTTAAATATAATTATTATTTTATAAAATAAATTAGTTTATAAACCTATAGATCATATAATTGTAAATTGATTTAGATGATAAAATAGAAACAAATGTTAAAATAAATGTAGTCTGATAGATCAAATTGAAGGTTCAAAAAATTGGAGAGGTTAAGCCAAAAAAATTGTAGGTTAATTTGAATAAGACTTATTTTATTTTTGTGACATTTTTTTTTCTATCTTCTAAGAGTGGCTAAATGATACGTGTCTTCCATCTTGATGCTTTCATCTAATTATGTTGATATTTTAGTTGTAACATGCACAAGAAATAACAATAAAGAAGTGAGAACAATTATCATTTAAAATAATAGCATCTTATAATGATATATAAAATATATTTTTCAACTTGCTCAACTTATCTCATTTATTCTATTTATGAAAATTTAAATTAAATTTGTAGTGACTAGTCAAGATAAATGAGCCTAATTTTAATCACTCATTCAGTGATATTTACTCATCCCAATGCCCAAGGTCCACCCTCCATCTACAATATCACCAAATCTTCATAAATAGATATTATTAATAATTAAATAATATAAATATAAATTAATAAATATGATCGATGCATCACTAGAGAGAAAATAAAATAAACAAACAGGACCAGTACATAACTGAAGATAATTCAAATAGGACCAGTGCAAGACTGGAGATAAAATAAAATAAACAAATAAGACCAATACATAACTGGACAGAAATAAATAAGATCAGTGCGTAACTGGAGATAAAATAAACAAGCATAAGGCACGCCCAGTAAGTATCTGGAGATAAATAAAATATAAAGAATAAATAGAATGAAGTTAGGAACACCTCAATCCACAACCATTAGTAAAAATAAAGAAAAATATTGATAAATGTCTCCTTCCTTTACCTTAAGAACGACAGATGATATTCTAAAATCTTACCGAAGTAACTTATTTTTCTCTTATTTTCTTCCTCTCCCTACGTGTTTCTTTCTTTCTTTCTCTCCCTCTCTCTCTTTCCTCTCCTTTTCTTCTTTATTTCTTTCCTTCTCTCTCCTCTCTTTCCCTTTTTTTTTCCTCCAATTTTTCTTTCTTTCTACGTAACCCCTCCCCCTCCCTCTCCCATTTATAGCCATATTATTATATTTTTTATATTTTTTTACTTAATGAAGTCATTAAATGCATTTATGACTTAGATAAATCTTATCCTTTAAGATAAGTTAACCTTATCTTTCATTTTTTTTGGTGAGATGTTACAATTTTGGTCTATTTAAGTCATGACTTACATGAACTTAAACCATGTTAGCCCATAGGTTCACGAGTAGACTTGTTTTATATAATAATAATTATTTTTAAATAAAAATAAATATTTTATTAAAAATATTATATGTATTATAAATTAATTTGATAAAGAATTTACTCATTATATGAATAAACAAGATTAAGTTTCTAATAACCATTTGTTTCAAGATTTAAATGATTAAGATTAATTACTATTTTAAATCAATAAATTACTAAAATAAAAATGAAGATAATAAGATGCAAGTTTTTAACTTTTATTTTGATATTGAATGAATCTATTATCTAAATAATTTATATAAAATCATTGGATTTTAAATAAAAATTATTTTCATTAATATAATTAAAATTTTAAAAAAGATTTTTTATTTTATTTTATTTAAATATTTTTAATCAATTATTTTGATATATATATATATATATATATATATATATATATATATTATTAATTTTCAACCTGGTCAATTTTGGTCTGTTAACCTATTGGCCTAATATAGATTAGACTATACTAGGAATTATGACTTATTTTAAAACATAGGCCAAAGTAGACTATAATTTTCTTTTTTACTTAGTCTGAAAAGTCATACCTAACTATATTAGACCGTTTCAAAATTTCTAAATAAAACTAAATTATTATGGCCATGACAAGAACTAGAAATTTTAGATGAGAAAGACTAAGATATAAAAATAAATATGTTACGTATTAATATTACTTATTAAATTTAAATTTTAAAAAATAAATCTTATTTCATCTATTTTCTTTTTTTCTATTAAAAAATCTATAATTATATTTTTAAATATATTTAAAACTTAAATTGATTTTTTTATTTAAATTTAAGATAAACATAAAATATCATAAAACATTAAAATAATTAACTAATTTATAACAAATAAAAATTTTATATTTTTTATATTACGATGATAATTTTTTATAATAATAAATAAAAAAATAAATAAATTTATTTACTATTTTTTACTTAAAAAAATAAATTATGCTTTCTTCACCTTTTGCCTTATGTTTTCTTCAACAGAAAAAAAAAAGAAATTACAATTTTTGTTATCGCGATGAAATTGTAAAAAAAGAAAAATTTAAGAACTAAAGAGAAAATTTATGGGTTTATGTAATAAGGTAAAAACGTGAAAAAAAAAACGTAAATTAATGAATGATAAAAATAGAAAATAAAAAATTGAAAAGATAAAATGGAAGTTTGATAAAAAAAAAAGTTGATGAAAAAAATGAAAAAAGTGAGAAAAAAAATCTAAAAAGAAAAATTAAATAAAAAAAGAAAAATTATAAATAAAAATTGTGTAAAAAAATAAATATAATATTTATTATAAATAAGAAATTAATTTGAAGAAGGTATATATATAGGGGGACCAGCATGGCCCCGGTCCTCTCTTTCAATTATTTATTTATTTATATATATATATATTATAAAAAAATTTACATTAAAAATAATAAAAAAATATTTTTTTTTCTCCCGTTTAAATTATTTCTGGATCCTGTCCCTGATTTGAATTGATCAATTTGAAACATATCCATTTTAAAAGCTCATGATATATACACATGTTGTTTGTACGGTGTGGTGTCCGCGAGTTTGGAAGCTCATAATTGGAAGATTTATGAATGGTAGTTGGGACTGAGAGATAGTTGCATAAATTCTTTGTTATGAATCTATATATTTTATGTGATTTCAAGTATGATATCAATGAATGTTTTAACTACTATACCACACCAAAGTTTTGAACAATTATTTTCAGTGTTATTTGTCCTCTATAATGAACTAACATTAAAATAGATAAATATTATTTACCATCTATAAAAGATTACTTTATAAGAAAATGACTTACAATAATAAAAGATGTTCACCCTCATTATTATCACCATAATGAAATTATTGTGGAAAGAAAATTAATATGATATCGATAAGAATGAGTTTTTAAATAAAAAAATGGCATACACATAAAAAAGAATATGAATTGTTTTAAACTTATATATTGTAAATCAATCTCATTAAAATCATTTTCAATCTTATTCATGGTAGGTAAGTTCACAACTATAAGTGCAAAGAATTAAAACCAACACTCATATATCATAATGTATTAATAAAAAACATTTTTATCCTATTAATTAAGTTTTGAATAGAATTGAAGAGTATGTATGATTCCAGATACAAATAAACATGTAATAAAACCATATAAATATCTTGATAAAAACTTCTAATATTTCATGATCAAGAAAATGAAACTTGAGCCACAGCATGAAAAAGAAATACTAGTTATATGAATAAGAACCACTACAAAATTTGAG